ATGGTTTAGAGGTAAGTCTATACACCACTGATCCACACTCTAGAGACACTTTCCTACTTAAGGTACTGGCTCTGTTCTTATCAGGTAAAGGTGATGAAAGGGGGATTTCACAGTCCTCTGAAAAGCTTCTCTTGACCTTAGTTTACCCAACTCTATCATATCACATTAAAACATTGCAAAAATGGGGAGGAAATTCTCTACCAAGAAAGACCCAGAAGACCAGGAGAAAACATAGCCAGCTAGCTTCCCTACTTTGTCACCCAGCAGGGATTGGGAGGAGAAATGTGTCTAAAACTGGCCCTTGGTTGTAGTGGTGGTGGAATACATCGCAGATAGCTTGGAGGCCTTACCTCTTCCTCAGTTTCTTAGAAAATTCTGGCTTCTCTCTTCAGTGCTTTCATTTCCCCCTCTGTGTCCATGGTGGAACCCCTGCCTCCTCCCACCCATCACTTGATTCTTGGGAAGGTCAGCACCAGGAAAGCTCTAGAAACAGCCAGTGTATTGCATTCCTCCTGGAGGCCAAGCAGCTCCTTAGATTCAGGAATTGGCTAATGATAGGAAACCACACAGAAACTCAGCAGGTGCCCCAAATAACAGGAAGAAGGAAGCCAAAGTAGCATCGCAATCTCTTTATTATGATTTCCACTGTGCCCAGCCTCTGGGAGCATCAGCTCCTTCAAGAGTGAAGGCTGAGCCATGGAGAGGAGCATGCAGCTGTACTGGTGGGAAGACAGGGCTTGGGGATGTTCCCCTCAGCTTACTGTCAAGTTACCTTCCGCAGAAAAGAACATAGGAAGGGCATGAGGGACCAGAGGGCATTGGATCTTCCACTTACTTGAGTGTTCTCAGAACTCCCCTCACAAGCTTATGTTTGGCTGGGAGACAGATCATCAGCCATCTCTTAAAGGAGCATACGTTTGAAGGCTCTTATTTCACAAGGATATGGAAAGGCCTTGCTGCTTATACCTTGACATTCTCATCTATGGTTATGCCAACCCATACTATACAAATTGGAATGTGACTGGACTTCTTAGTCACTAGCCCAGACCAGATGTGACACGCTGTCCACAATCTGGGTCATCAGGTCATGTGGCTCAGAGGGAAGGTTTTCCTTAATGCTAGTTGGGTCTAGTGGAAATTCTGTTACCTGTTTATTTTCTTTCCTTTTAAGGTTGCCGAAAGCAGTGGCAGCAGGAAAGTAACAGCAGGGGAAATAACCAGTCCTACCACACTCCAGGACTGAGCTATAGGGAACAGGTATGATGCATTAATATTTTCCATTCTCCATCCAGTTCTCTGTTGTCTGAGCTGCAGCCAGGGGCCTGGAGAGAGATCTGGGCAAATTCAAACTAAGTGGCACTGGGAAAGCAGCAATTTTATTCCACTGTAAATTGAGGAGTGAAAAGGGGTTATGGTACTGTTGCTACCAGGATATTGTTCTGACATCCAGTTGTTCTGTCTTTTAGTGCCAAGTATATACCTGCCTTTACTCTGCTAGTTTGAAGGGGTCATGCTTATAGGATCACTAGAGCCTGCTACCAGTCCTGCCTGGAGGTTATTCTTGGCTCTGGGGTGGTCATTGCTAGCCTGAGGCCCTGCCATACAGCTTCTGCTGAGCTTCCTTCTTAGGGCTTCCTTGCACCACTCTTACTGAAGCCATGAGACCTGCAATGGTTGAGGGTGTGCTTCAGACTAAGAGGCATAGGCACAATCCTGGGCTCACACCCCAGAGAGCTGCCCTCTTCCCAGGCAGTTTGATTCTGTACCTCCAAAGTTAGTGATAGGAATAGGGGAACTCCCAGATCTGGCCACTCAAATAAGGCCAGGGTGACATCCCATAGGGAGCACCAGGGCTAAAAAGGCATGTCTGCCCTTTAGCCCCAGTCACTTAGGCTGAAGGTGGGAAGAGGCAATGTGCTCATGGCTTTGACTGTTCTCAAAGGAAGAAAAGCACTTGAGAGTGGGTCAGTACCTGGGAGCAAGGGAACTGCTCCATCTCTGGGATCCAAAGGGGCCACTGCTCAAAAGCAGAGCCTACCTCTGTTGAGGAAGGCTGATCTCAGGAGAGGAAGCCACAGAGCAGACCTGGAGAGGTTATGTAGCCACAGCTAACTGCCTCAGCTTACTTTCTGTCCCTGCAGCTCCGCTGTCTCTGGTTGACATCCAGATGCCCCTGTCTTTAAATCTGAGCATAGAGAAGAGGGGTATTGGGTGAAAAATAGGCTTAGGGCAAGGAGTCTTCAGAGGAGCAACCCTAATCTCTGTTGATAGTGGGTGGAGTGGGTGGTGTTTGTAATAAGATTGATTTCAATTCTGGGTAGCCAAGAAGAAATGACTAGAACATTTTCTCAAACCCTTAGAGTCAGACACTGCTTTTTGTACTTGGCAGAATTTCAGATAGTCACAGTGATGGAAAGGCTTGATGAAAAGTAAAGGGAATGGGCTTCACTTGGTTTTTAAAAGTTTGAACATCTTCATATGTACTGCAGAGGGGCTCCATGGATTAGAACACTGCAGAGGGAGATCCCAGACGGGGGGTTGGGGTGGGGCTTCTACAACTCTGGTCTGGGGAGCAAGGGAATCTTTTCATTGGTAAAAAACTAGATGCCTAATGGAGAAGAGGCCAGTTGCTCCTCCAGGCTTTTCTGCGTCTTAGGATTCTTGTGGACTGGGAACTCTATGCTGGGGTCCTCTGGGCCCTCTGTAGCATGCCCTTACCAAGGAAACTTGCTGTCTTGGAATAGGAAGAGGAATAGTCCCAAATGGGCCTGATCCTACCATGAAAGAAATACTGCTTTGCCAGGCCCTGAGATGCATCTGGCCCATGGTCTTTTACCACTCATCCACAGAAAGCTAGAAGCTGCAGCTCCAGAGAGGCAGGCATCACCTTGTCTGTGAAGGATCAGGGAACAAGATAGATTTCCAGTCCCTATTACTGATGACGAGGCAGGAGAAAAAAGCTGTTCAGACAAAGCCCAGAGCTTGTCTCTACTCAAAATGCCCTGTGAGATCCAGCAGCCTGAGGCCATTGGCATACAAGGTGATTTACCAGGAGAGTAAGCAAGAGCCCCTGTGCTGAATGTGCTTTAATCTTTTTCCATGTAAAACCCCAGGTCTGGCTGCTTCAGAGGCAGTCCTTGGACCCAAGAGTCATGTGCTTTCACTTTTGTGTTCAGTTTGCTAAACTGAACAAACAGCCCCTCTTACTGATCAGTCTTGAGAATATGGCTAAGCAGTATTTACAAAAAGCTGTTTTTGTTTTGAAATGTTCAGGGCCATACACATGAACCCGGCCAGATTCATCTTCTGTCTGCTTCATTTTAGACCTGAAAAATCCAACCCCTGAAACTTCACAACCTGTTCTAGGTCAGGCAATTTCTACAGAAGGTGGTGTTACCACAACCCTGGTTGCAGCTCCCCACTTTCCTGTGAGCATCTCAACACTGAGCTGTATGCTACTTCTTCTGTTAGCACCCAATTCAGTACAAGTGCCTTGAGCAATGGAGCTATATTAGCTTTAACATGACTGAACCAAAGCCCCTCTCTAGTATTCAGATTGGAAACAGAACCTAGATTCCAGGGCCAGGGCTGACCCACAACACGCAGTGACTTCAGAACTTAATGAGAACTTAGGGAGGACAGCTGGGACTTAGAGACCAGGCTTGGTGCTCATGTAGTGAGCAGCAGGGAGAAGCAGCAACTCAGGCCATATCTCAGTGAGGGGGAGAAGGATGAACCTTCTGTGAAGCTTTGCTGGGGCTTTCTCTGCTGAAGACGTGAGATACAAAAAAAAAAAAAAAGAGAGAGAGAGAGAGAGAGAAAGAAAGAAAGAGCTGAGATGCAAATCCTCTTCTTGGCTCCAGCTTGTCAGGGTGGTTGAAAGGAGTCCTTGCTGCTCTTTCTTGGGCTGTGGAAGAGGCTGGCTCTTGTTCTCCATACAATGGCACGCTCTTCTAGGTCTACATTTGGGCTGAGGTGGAAAGATGGAAAATCATGAGACTTCTCCTCTCATTTTCCATCCAAACCTTGTCCTCATTGGAGATCAGGCTTCAGGTCTCTGTGGTAGTTGACTTGGGTAAAGCATCTAATACAGAGGGCTGTGACTCCTGCGATCATACTTATTCCATTCAGGCCCTTTGGGCTCTGGGCCATGTGTTCCCATCTGTAAAACAGGGGTCAGGATGGCTCATCTTGGTTTTTGACTGTTCTGCTAAAGACTTTTGGACTTGAAAGACCTGGATGAGATGTTCCTAGAATCCTGGGTTCCTGGGAGGGGCTGCCTTCTCTTCTTCTAATTAAGACTCACTCCATAGACTAGTTGCCTTCTCTGTCACTAGAAATTAGAATTTAAATAAACAGAGGCTGAAGTGCAGTGGTGGTTTTCAGTAACTTTCCCACCCCAACATACCTGAGGGACATAGCACATACCTACCAGAACAGTGGCTCACCACAGAAGGGATTTTCAACTGAGGAAGAGGGAGCTTATCAGCATCTCTAGGACAGCATGTGAGTCTGATGCCCTATTATTAAGAATCACTTGGCCAGAGACTTGTCTATTGGAAATCAGAACTGGCCAATAGAAGGAGTGAATAGAGACCCCTCTCATCTACACCAGGAGCTTCACAAAGGAACTTTGGTCCTTTTTCAACCAAGAAGAACCAGGTCTCTGTAGGCATGGACAGCTAGGCATGTGTGTATGTGTGTGTGCACACACATATGTGTGCAGTGGCAGGTCTAGTCTAGGATGTGAGGGCTGGGGGGATGGGTCCAAGAGTGGATACTGCCACAGCTCCCAGGGCTTTTCCCTGCAGCAATGCATATATTGCCTCTGTTGTGAGGGGCGCAGTGATTTCAGTTCCATAAAGCTTAGTGTCAAATTGAGATGCTGGCAGTACTCCATCCCCACAAGTCTCAGTACCAGAGGATGGTGGGGAAAGAGGGAAAGAGAAAAAGGAGAGGAGGGAGACCATTGTCTCTGAACTGAGCTTCTCTGCTCCATGCTATCCTGGGGGTTTCAGATGAATTGCTGCACTGTTGGGGCGAGCAGCCAAGATGTAGACAACATTCTCCCGCAGAAAGGTAGGCCAGTCCACAAATCTGGAGTGGGAGCAAAGAACAGGTTTGTGAGGTTGGCTGTAGAGCCTGGATGCTCATGAGACCCGATCCCAGTGGCAGTACGGCTTAAGCCGGGCAAAGCTCAGGTAAGCCCTGGCTTTTGGCTGACATAGGTATGGCTGGCTGTGCTTCCATGCGGACAGTCCAGCCAGCTGACCCTATGGATCTTGGGTCAAATGGACATTTTTGGAGCCTGGTTTCTGGGATATGCACTTGCTGTTTTGGGGTAGCAGTGGGCAATGCCCACTTGTGTGTGTTGAAGAGTCAGGAGTGCAGACAGCCCAGTGAGGGGATCCTACTCACCTGGACTCCTGCTCTGTGGGTAGCAAAGCCTTGTCTTGACTCTTGCTGCTGCTGCTGGCTGGGCTGCTGTCTGCTATGGGACCCACATGGCTGATGCTGTTGGACACAAGGATATGTGGTTAGGAGTGGGAAAATGAAAGGTCCGGCCCCTCCCAAACTCTGGGGAACCCATGGCTCAGATATGCATGTCCACACTTTTCTGACATGGGTGGCAGTTTGGAGTAGAGGATGCCCTATGCCTTGAACAATAAGAGGCAGTGTCCTTTGTCTAATGCACAGGAAGCTCCTCTCCTGTCTGTTGACAGAAGAAACCGAGAGGTACCTTTCATACCAAGGGCCATTTGGCACGGAAAAAGGAGGAGGGCATGTGAGTGGGAGCAGGGATTGGTAGAGAACAGACCTGACACTGCAGGAAGGAGCCTCTGCAAGGTGTTTGCAGAACCAAGAGTGCTGGGCTCCACGGCACTCTGCCTCACTGATAGTGCTCCCGCTGCCCCGGGCTAGGAAGGTGGCCCGGGCTCGCTCCCGCTCTTTCACTGTCAGAAGCCTTAACAGAGAGTTCTGGGGAAGAGACAAGTTAAGATCTTGGAGGTGAAAATATTTTGTAAAATGTCAAGCCATAGAGAATCCTACCTCCATTACCATCTCTGCAGCCTCCCTTTGAAGCTGCCCAGAGCCTTTCTGGTAGCATTGACATTTGCAGTTGGGTCCAGTGCAAATCAGTCTTCCTTGGGCAGTTTCCCCAGCTTAGGCACTGGATCACCTGTCACTGGGTGGAATGTGAGCCCTTTCCTTCTATGGTCCCTGCTAAGACAGTACCTAGTGCTCCTCCAACCTGCCCAGCATGCTTCCTAGGTCTCTGCCACCCAGTATCCCATAGACATTCACCCCGGCTGGCCCTCACCTGGGGACGCAATTGCTGCAGAAGTAGGAGGGACTCATGGGACAAGAAGTCAGGCCACTCTATGTGTCCTCGATGTTCAGGGTCCAGGGCTGCAAACTGGCGGGCTGCCTGCTCCTCTTGCTCCTCGCTTAGAGCCCTGTCACTGTCCCCCCGCTTTGCTGCTTGGTGGCGGTAGCGCAGGAAGTCCTCCAGTGTCAGGGAGCAATCTGTGGGAGGCACCCCATACTAGCCAAGCCCACCTCCATTTACTTCTAGAATACCCTCCAGAACCCCTACATCCATAGCTTTCGTGGAGTCTTTGTCTCCCATAGCCAGGATAACTCAGGCTGTGGTGGGTGGGGAAGATGGGCGGGTGTGTGGGTGCCCCTGCTGGCCAACAGCTTGGGAACAGGGACCTATTTACCCCTACTCTCCAAATTCCAGCATACTCCTTTTATGGTTTGTCCTAAAAAGTATGGAGGAAAAATGTGCCAGCCGCTCTCCATCTGGCAGCACTGTCCAGCCTTACCAGGAATGACTTTACACTGCTGGAAGGTCTCTGTGAGGCTGTACATTTCCTCCTCAGTTAGCAGCAAGTTGAGATTATCCTGAAAAAAAAAGAAAGATCTGAGTCAGTGGCCATATAGACCAGTAAGAGAGAAAGGCCAAGATCAAGAAGCATGGAAATTGTATTTCAACTTGAAGGCAATTCTGGGATAATCTAATCCCAGCCTCTAATCATAATCAAAGAGACTGAAGCCCCAGAAAGGGGAAAGGATTTGTTCAGAGTTGCCCAACTCTGGAGCAGAATCTTCTCCAGAAGCCAGGTATCCTGATTCTAGACCTGAGACCCTTTTACTAAACAGTAGTTTTAAAATTATTCTCTGAGGGGCGCCTGGGTGGCTCAGTCGTTAAGCGGCTGCCTGCGGCTCAGGTCATGATCCCAGGGTCCTGGGATCAAGCCCCACATCAGGCTCCCTGCTCGGTGGGAAGCCTGCTTCTCCCTCTCCCACTCCCCCTGCTTGTGTTCCTGCTCTCCCTATCTCTCTCTCTCTGTCAAATAAATAAATAAAATCTTTAAAAAAATTATTCTCTGAGATACCCTAAGGAATCCTTGGAAGTGCCTTGGGAAGCTGCTGCAAGGGAAAACGGGACTAATAAGTGGGCATGGTTGTGAATCCCCAGCTCCATCAACCACAGCAGCTCCATCTTTATTCATTTTATGTATTTGGTTTCTATGTTAGATTGTGCTCAAAGAGTATTTCAGTTAAAAAATAAGTTTAATTCTAACTCTGCTCCTAGTAGGCTGTATTATTTTAAATAATCCAGAATGGTTTTGAAAGAGATGCCATCATGACGAAGTTCCTAAAACCAAATGAGTTTTTTGTGGTGCCACAGAAATTCTGATTCCAAAACAGCAGTGATATGTTATTTTATTAATACTAATTTACAGTCTTATAGTCTTTAAGCTGTCAAAGATTCTTTCTAGTAGGTTATTTTCCTCTCTTAAAATACCAGCAAAGAAGAGGAACAGACATTTCATGAGTATTCATTTATAGATTTCATAAAGAACTCAATTCTTTCAATAACACTTATTGAGCACTTGGTATATGCTGGGCACAGTGGGGTGTAACACTGTGAAATGTTCAGTGGGGCTGGAGTGTAGGGTGTGTGTGTGTGTGTGTGTGGAGGGAGAGTAGAGAGGAATGACAAAAGATAAGGGAGAGGTAGGCAGAAGCCTGACTGTGAAGTGCCTCAAATGCCCATTAGTGAGCCCTTCAAACGGGCTTTTATTCTGAGGGCAAAGGGGAGTCACCAAATGTTTAAGTAGGGTCCACATCCAGTGTGGAGCCCAATGTGGGGCTTGAACTCATGACCCCTGAGATCATGACCTGAGCTGAGGTCAAGAGTCGGACGCTTAACGGACTGAGCCACCCAGGTGGCTGACTGAATGGTTTTTAAGGGCATATGTAGTGCCACGGTCAGATCTTTGCTGTGTGGAAAATGAATCAGAGAGGCAAAGTCTAGAAACACGGAGAACAGTTAGTTAGCTGTTGCTATAGTGCGGGTAAGAAAAGATGAATGGCTAACCTAAGACATGAGAATGGAAAAGAGAGGCGATTTGAGAGGTATTAATAGGTAGATCAGTAGGACCTGCTGACTTACTGGACGTGAGGGATGAAGGAGAGGAATGAGTTGGTATTGGTAACTGGAGGGGTTGTATTACTGTTCACAGAGGTAAGAAATTTAGAGAGAACAGGTTTCGGGGAAAAGAGTTCATTTTGGGTCATGGTGATGTGAAGTACCCATGAGGCATCAAGATGGATGTAAATCCAAGAGACAAGAAATTTAGGTCTGGACACACAGGTTTGGGAATCATTTGTGTTTAGATGGTCGCTATAGCCACTGAAGTACATGAAATAACCCAGGGAGAGAGTGTGTGTCAGAAAAGAAGAGTGTTAACAACAGAACCCCAAGGAAGATCAGCATTTAGGACTGTGAGAAGAAGTTAACTAAGGGCACTCAGAATGGTCAGAGAAGACGGTAGGAGGAGAATCAGTAGGGAGTACTGGAAGCCAAGAAAAGAGAGTTACACAACGTAGAAGGTAATGTTAACAGTGGTGATACAACTATGATGGGACTTTACTGATTTTCTATTTTCTCTAGTTTCCTTATTTTACATAATAATTCTCATAACTACTTAAATCCCCCCAAAAAGAGGAGGCAATAAGGGAGTGCTAAATACCTCATAGGGGTCAAGTAAGAAGATGCCTGACAAAAGGTCACTAGACTTGACAGTCAGGTCATTGGTGACTTAAGAAAGAACCAATCCAGCAGAATGACAGATGCAGAAGCTGAATTACAGGTGGTTGAGGAGCCACTAGGAGATGATGGAATCTTTTCAAAAAGCCTGCCTGGGAAGGGAAGAAAGGGGAGGAGCTTGGAAGAAACCTTTGTAAAAAGTCTGGCATGTGGTAGTAATGATGGTAGGACTGTGACAGAAAGCCAGGAAGGGTTAGGAAGGAGACACCTTCAGCTGGGGCCCACACATCAGCAGCACACTGCAGGGCAGAGTTGCTGTGAGTGAAAAGGCTGGTGTTTGGAGGGGTGGTGACTAGAGAAGATGGTGTGTAGAACAGGGTCTACTGTGACATACTTCAGCTGGGGAAAAGGTGTGTAAGTGGCTGGGAATAACTGTTCTATACTTGATTTTATAGACAAGCCATAGATAAAGTGATATTTGTTAGAAAGTGGCACATCTTTGCTTTCTTCTAGGCAGGAGGAAGAAGAGGGGGGAGTCTGCTGAGATGTTCCTTAGAAGATATCTGCAGGATAACAGACCAATAAAGCAAGACTTTTTTTTTTAAAGATTTTATTTATTTGACAGAGAGAGACACAGCGAGAGAGGGAACACAAGCAGAGGGAATGGGAGAGGGAGAAGCAGGCTTCCCGCAGAGCAGGGAGCCTGATGTGGGGCTCTATCCCAGGACCTCATGACCTGAGCCGAAGGCAGACGCTTAACGACTGAGCCACCCGGGCGCCTCGAATAAAGCAAGATTTACATTCTATTCAGATGTACTGAGAAATGGATACGAATCTGGCTTTTGTCTTTTTAAAAGTTGGAAGGCAGGGTGCCTGGGTGGCTCAGTGGGTTAAGTGTCTGCCTTTGGCTCAGTCATGATCCCAGGGTCCTGGGACAGAGCCCCGCATCCAGCTCCCTGGGGAGTCTGCTTCTTCCTCTCCCTCTGCTGCTCCCCCTGCTTGTGCTCTCTCTCTGTCAAATAAATAAATAAAATCTTAAAAAAAAGTTGGAAGGTATTTATATATAATTTGCAAAGTTCTGAATCAACAGACCTTTGATATTTAATTTACATAATGATCACATTAGAGATGAAGTTCTTCATCCTAAGAGTTAGGTGGTAGGCCAAGTGATGATCTTAGGACTAAGAAGTGTTACTATGTTAGAACCTATCCCTATTGGAAGCAAGCTGGTTAGGATGGTTTTTCAGATGAGTACAATGAATGACAACTAAAGACTATTAGAGAAAGCACTATTCCAAGCACAATTACTATTGAGTAATTAGGCCTCATCCTAACCATTGATTCCTCTAGCTCAGTGTTTCTCAGTTGGGATGAGTTTTGTTCCCCTAGGACACACTGGGTAATATCTGGAGACATTTTTGGTCGTCACAACTGGGGGTGGGTGCTACTGACATCTAATGGGGTAGAGGCCAGGGATGCTGCTGAACATACTACATTGCACACATTTACTGTGTGCAAAAAAATTACTGTGTCCAAAATGTCATAGTACTGAGGTAGAGAAAGCCTGACCAAGTTTGAGGATCCCGGTATCTACTATTGGAAAACTCTTTTAGGTCACTGCCTAGAAACCAGTGTTCTTAGACTGGGTCTCCAGAAAAGTGCCAAGTTCCCTGCGGTGCTGCAGCCCATAGTCCCTGCAGTCCAGGCTTACACAGTAGTGGCAGCTCCAGCCAGTTTCTGTGTGGGCTGTCTCGGTCACCTCTGCTGCACTATCTCCTTGGATGTAGCCCATGCGGCGCAGGCAGCCATCATGGAAAACCCTGGTGCAGATCCTGCATGGGAAGAGGCTCTCAGCTGTCCAGACTTCACAGACATCACATATCTCATCGTTGACAACCTGGCAAAAAGAATAGTGTATTCATTTCCAGTGTAGGCAGCAAGATCCTATGGCCACGAAACACAGAGTTACCCACATGGGGCTGAATATCCCTGGAGCAGCCCAGAGGAACAATTCCAACTGAAGCCTGTGTTAAGGTGATAGAGCTTTCCCTCTGGAAGACAAGAACCAGCAAGCTCTTCCATCTGCTCAGGTCTCTGTGACCATTTTTCTGAACAGGGATGCTACTAACATTTTTGGAAAAAAATAATCTGTTCTGAAAAACTGTCCCAGACATTGCAGGACACTTAGCACCCCTGGTTTTCTTGGCACCAAAAACCAGTAGCAACTCCAGTGATGATGACCTTCTTGAATGCCCACGAATTTCCAAATGCCTCCTACAGGGACTACTACTATCCTTTAGTGAGACGGATGGCAAAAGACCTGCCATGGTGTCATTCCTTATCACCCACTGTCTCTAGTCTTTCACTAAGACCAATCTAGGATGTAACATTTTTATTCTTGTAGAAGAAATTCAAAGATTGTTCTGGACTCAACTGTACTTTTCTGGAGTTTTTTCTTTTTGAGTCTCACTTTAACTATACCCAGGCCTCCCTGATCCTCAGAAGGTCTAAGACTTGAGGACTGTGCCCTAACTGGGTACTCACAAGTTCTCTGGGCTCCAAGCAGATATCAGGAGGCTTGTCATCATCCAGCTTCCGGGTGGGGCGGATGAAGGCAGGGGGTGTGAAACGATTAGTCCTGTCAAACTCCTCCGGCTCCACTCCACGCCCATCTCGGAGCCTCTCCCAAGCTGCACGATTGACACTGCTCTCTTCTTGGAGCACTGGGGTACTTGCCTCTGCTCCTTTCTCCTCCTGTACCTCCTGGACAGAGCCCTCTACTGTGCCACGGCGGGACCCTGGAAGCTCACCAGGGCGTCGGATGGAAGGCCTGTCCCGTAGCCCATCCTTGAAGGCAGACACAGCCAGGCTCACCTTTTGTACCTGCTCCACTGTCTGCCGCTTGGACATCAACACCCCCATGGCTCTGTGAACAAAAAGCAGAGGGGCCCAGATTCAGCCAATGGCTGACCATGTCAAGCCAATCAATTTCAACCATTCATCTAAGTGGCAAGTATTATTAGATAGTTTTTCCCTCTTCTGGAACTCAGTGCCATGGTGGGATGGAGAAGCTTCTGTTAAAGAGTCAGAAGACCCTGGTTCTATTTCTGACTGGCCTTGCGATTTTGGTTTTCCTATTTGTAAAATGAGGGCTATCTGCTCAGTGCACTCCACAGGGCTGTCATGAGGATAACATTAGAAAATGTGCTTATTAAGTGCTTAGTAGACTGGAAAGTATTCTACAAATGTGAAATGGTATCTCTTTTATTTCTTGCTGTCCCAAAGTTAATTAGGTCCAGGGGTCCCAGGCCTCTGGAGATAGTTGGAGACTTCAGAGCCTAAGTCTCTCCTCTGCCACATGAGATGCTCCAAAGCTTAAAGTAAGACTACAGCAATACATTTCAGACTTCTGATTGAAGAAAATCTCCTCCAATAAGTGCTGTGCACAGTGCATCCAGGATAATCCGCATCAAATTCTCACTTTTTCAGTCAGAGTGAATGTACTCCTATTTTTAGGGGATTTCTGAATTAGATAAGAAACTACCAACCTAGCCACATGGTCAAGGTCACAAACACTCCTTTGCCCCCTCTAATTGGCTATGCTTCTTTGTGGGTCTTTCACAGACAACCTAACCCATTTTTAAGTTCTGAAGTGCTTCTCAGACTTTTAAGGCTTCACTAATGTTACTCCCACATTTTCTCTTTTGATTTTCTGAGCTGTTCAATAAAACCTTTACAGGTTAAGAAGTAACATTATCCCTGCTCTTCCTCTGCAGTACCAGGGTACAACACTGGAGAGTGAGGGCATGACATCGCATATTGCAAAGCTGGTTTGCTATTTCCTAACCTGAAGGGTCTTAGTGGAATTCAGCTGGCGAATGCGTGTTCTAAGTAAAGTGAAACGGAGAGTCCATTTTAGCCTTGCTCTCAATCCATTATAATCAAGGCTTATTGAACAGTACTATGTATAAGGTACTAACTACTCATCATAGGAAATAAAAGACAAGAGCTGAAATCAAGAGCCTGACTTAACCGACTGAGCCACCAAGGCGCCCCTCAGTGGACAATTAATAAATTGTGATTAAAAAATCCTTTTTGGGGGGCACCTGAGTGGCTCAGTAGTGAAGCGTCTGCCTTTGGCTCAGGTCACAGTCCCAGGGTCCTGGGATCGAGCCCCGCATCGGGCTCCCTGCTCAGCGGAGAGCCTGCTTCTCCCTCTCCCACTCCCGCTGCTTGTGTTCCCTCTCTCGCTGTGTCTCTCTCTGTCAAATAAATAAATAAAATCTTAAAAAAAATCCTTTTTTGGGGGTTCCTGGGTGGCTCAGTCAGTTAAGCAGCTGACTCCTGCATCCTAATGTTTATAGCAGCAATGGCCACAATAGTCAAAATATGGAAAGAGCCCAGATGTCCATCAACAGATGAATGGATAAAGAAGATAAATAAGATGTAGAATATATACACAATGGCATATTACTCAGCCATCAAAAAGAATGAAATCTTGACGTTTGCAATGATGTGGATAGAACTAGAGGGTACTATGCTAAGCTAAGTTAGAGAAAGACAAGTATCATATGGTTTCACTCATATGTGGAATTTTTTTTTATTTAAAGATTTTATTTATTTATTTATTTGACAGAGAGAGACAGAGTGAGAGAAGGAACACAAGCAGGGGGAATGGGAGAGGGAGAAGCAGGCTTCCCGCTGAGCAGGGAGCCTGATGCGGGGCTCGATCCCAGGACCCTGGGATCCTGACCCGAGCCGAAGCAGACGCTTAACGACTGAGCCACCCAGGTGCCCCTCATAAGTGGAATTTAAGAAACAAAACAGATGAACACAGGGGAAGGGAAGGAAAAATAAGATGAAAACAGAGAGGGAGGCAAACCATAAGAGACTCTTAAATATAGGAAACAAACTGACGGTTTCTTGAGGGGAGGTGGGGGGGCTGGGGTAATTGGGTGATGAGCATTAAGGAGGGCACTTGATATAATGAGCACTGGGTGTTATATGCAACTGATGAATCACTAAATTCTACCCCTGAAACTAATACATTGTATGTTAACTAACTTGAATTTAAATTTTTAAAAAAAGGGAAAAAAGTTCATGTGACCTAGCCTGGTGGGGTTGGGCCTAGGGGTAGACAGGAGAGTGTGTGTGTTAGAGATTTTGCTGAGACTGTGGATCCAGATGATTCTTTTCCTTTTTTCTTTTTAAAAAGTATTTATTTATTTGAGAGAGAGAAAAACCGAGCACAAGCGGGAGGGTGGGGAGAGGCAGAGGGAGAGGAAGAAGCAGACTCCCCACTGAGCAGGAAGCCACAGTGCATGGCTCCATCCCAGGATCCCGGGATCAAGACCTGAGCCAAAGGTAGACACTTAACTAACTGAACCACCCAGGCAACCCAAACGATCCAGAGGATTCTTGAAGAGGCTGAGTCTATAGTCTCCAGACACTGTCCACATGCCTCAAGAGCACCAGCTGTGCTCTATGGTGAGGTGGGAAAGCAAGTCCCCCACTTAGAGCAAAAGGAACAGGCATACCACACCAAGAGGGAGAATGTAAAACTGACACACAGCCCTTCACAACAGACCTTCTTCATGATCAATTATTTCCAAGGCTACAGGGTTTTCCTCAGAAAACTTTCATGGTATGTTTTTCAAAATTTTTGACTGTGACTCATAGTAAGAAATACTGTTTATGATGTGACCTTGTATATGCATAGTTACAAACATGTGTCCATAGATCTAGAACTGAACCCAAAATTTTGTGAACCAGTCCTCTTTTACTACCTGATATTTTCTACTCTATTTCATTAAAACAATCTTGATAGTGACTCTCTCAAATGATTTCATGACTTCCCAATGGGTCTGGACCTGAATTTGAAAAATATAGCCTTAGGATACTTTTATATTTATTATTAGAGAACTACATTTTTTGTATTTTGATTTAAGAATGATTACTGCTAAAGGTAAGGACAGCATTGTGGAGTATAAGGTAAGCTTTCCCCTTGACTGCTGTGGTGCAAGAACAGAGTTCTCAAGCTTGTCCTGAGTCTGTGGTTCTAAAACTGATGGTTACCAGAGGAGAGGTGGGTGGGGGCATGGGTGACATAGGTGATGGGGATTAAGGAGTGAACTTGTTGTGATGAGCACTGGGTGATGTATGGAATTGTTGAATCACTATATTGTACACCTGAACTAATATAACACTGTATGTTAACTATACTGGAATTAAAATGAAAAAAAAAGGGGGGGGCTATGATTCTAGCAGAGATGGATAGCTACTAATCCTACTAAACCTTTGACTGAAGAAGACCCTACTCTGTATGAGAGACTGATCCTCTTTGACCTGTGCACAAATGTAAAAGAATATTTATTCATTTGTTTACAATGATAAGAAGGTGGAAATAATGTCAATAGGAGAATTATTAAATAACCTGTGAAATAGTCATACCAAAAATAGAGAAAAAAACTGATTTAATCCAGTAGGAACACAAAGATCAGAGCAATGAATGATTCTCATTGGCTGGATCCTGGAGCAGGTGGGCGAATATATATCTGAATTCCAGGAGGAGAGGACAAATAGTGGATTGAAAAAGCATAATATATATTTATATCTGTAAAGCAAATATTAAAAGTCATCACTTTTTTTTTTTTGGTAACAGACTACAAAACAGCAGAGCTTGACAGTGTCCTCTTGGTTGCTGGGGAGATACAAAAGTACTAGCTCTCTAAATAGTTGGGGAAAGCCCCCTCCCAGAAGTTGTATTATAAATTTTGGGGAGTAGTTATAAGACATTTAAGTTTATCAGCAAGAAAGTATGGGTTGAAAAAAAAGTTGTGAAATGCTTATTTGGAGACCTAGAATAACCATACGAAATTCACTTTTTCAAGAATGATTCATTGAAGGCAAATCAATGGTATACATTTGGTTCTTACTGGCTTTTTCAGATACTGAGTTCTCAACAAAGGCCAAAGAGGGAGGTTACTCTGTAGGTGAACTGAGTCATTAATAGTGTATCAGTAAATTAACCATAGGCATCTCCCAGTACATTGTAGTCCAGCTACAACCCATTATTCTCTGTAAGGATAACAAGACTCACTATTAAGCTATCTGAATTGTTAATGATGTTACTGCAGTGGTTTGGGGAGTTGATCTTTAAAGGTATTTTAATGAAGACTGAAGATGACATCCACCAGCAAAACAAACAAACATAAAAACAAATTAAAAACCACTTTCCATTCCTGACCACAGGATCCTGGAGTACTGCTACTACTTTTACCTGAGATGGTTCAGGTTTCTAGGCCATTTTATGCTAATAAGGGCAGAAAATGTAGAGCAGAACCATTGAAAAGAAACCATCAAAATCCAAACAAGACCCCAAGTCATTGTGAATTGACATAGCTTTGATTTTGAGAGTAAACTGTGAGGACACAACAGCAGTGGGCTTCAAAGAATGAGGTTGAAACCCTTAGTGCTTAATGGAGAGGATCAAACCTGTATACAAGGCACCTTGATTAAAAGCAAGTGTGCTGAAATATCCATGATGTGCACCTGGGTGTTGGAGAAATTAACAAAATGGGCTCTAATTTCTAGAGAAACAAGTGGTAGTGATTAGTGACAGGTAAAAAACAAATGCCTGGTGAGAAAAACCTGGCTTTTCCTGTGCTGGAAGAAGTCCTAGGAAGAAGAGTGAGTTAAAAGGAAATCAAGTTGTAAAGATCCCACAAATGATAGTTAATGATTACTTCTTTGGCTGGTGGGTGGAACTGGGTTTTCTGCCTCCCTAAAAAGGATGAAAGAAAGATAAAAAGACATTGTCTCAAGAATGATGTGACTGCCAGAGAATTTGTGGTATCTAAGGAAGGCTTGGAAAAAAACCTCAGGAGGGCAGGAGCAGGTGGTGGTGAATTACAGAGGGACAA